GACCATCAACAAGTAGGGGGAAATCTTCACTGACCACCAATATGTAGGGGGCAAACTCTATTGACCATCAACATGTAGGGGGCAATCTTCACTGACCACCAACATGTAGGGGCACTCCTCACCACTCTCCACAAACATGTAGGAGGCAATCTTCACTGGCCAGCAACATTTAGGGGGCAATCTCCACTGGACTCTAAACATGTAGGAGAGAGCCTGACTACCATTTATGTCTCCACTGGGCTAAAAGATACACTGACACCAATATGTTGGTGGCAATCTCCAGTGACAATCAATATGTAGGTTGCAATCTTCACTGACCATCAACATGTAGGGGGCAATCTTCACTTACCACCAACATGCAGAGTCAATCTATCACTGACCATTGGCATGGAGGGGGAAATCTCCACTCTCCACAAACATGCAGGGGGCAATTTCCACTGGTCACCTACATTTATGGGCAATTCTCCTCTAGTCACCAACATGTAAAGAGCAAATACGAACGTTCACCATTGACATTCATATGTTCATGCTATTGTTTGAGTTATTATTTTTTTATGTAGGATCATATATATTGCACAGGCGGTTAGGGTCGAGTCCTGGACGGGAGATATGTGTCCCCACTATTGGGGTTGTGCTTCCATTAAGGAGGATGATGTGAACAATTTTTGGTGTACTCAGGAGTTCTCACCCATGTAGGGAGAGGGGTTCTGGGGTAGTCTGTGTTATTGAAATGAGGACTGACTGTCAGTGCTCTTAGGATTGGTAATTTCTCATATGGGACCCAAAAATCAGAGGCTCAGAAAAAATTTGAGTGGGAAGGAGCATCCAAACTCTGATTACAGAGACTTTGTTCCCACAAACATTAACCCATCAGTTGGGAGACCTGAAAAGGAGCAGAAAGGAGTCAGCACCTGTCTGTGAGATGGAATGGAGTAGTGTGGAGTGTCTTGTGACTGAGACATTGTTTGATGAGCTCCTACGGTTTTCCTGTACACTGAAGCAGATGGGAACCTCAAACCCTGGTGTAGGACTGATATAATGGCGGTGAGCCATAGTGTTGTATTCTCTTATACCAGAATTGGGAACTCTGTGTGTTTACTTTGGCTGAAGAAAGTTCTTTTGGTTGCTTCATTTTAAAAAACAATAAAGACTGTTTTACTTTTCTAAGTGGCTAGCTGGTGATTCTGGGCTCCCCGTGTATGTTGCGGCATACTGTGACTGCCAACTCATTCAGCCCAAGGCATGAAAAAATAGATGCCATCTGCATATTATCGCAGTGCATGTTGCTGCACACAATGATTTTTTAAAGATGATTAGGATGCCATTCACATTCATCACATGCATTGACGCAACAGTCTGTCAGGGCTCTGTCCTCAGCAGAGGTGTTAGGAGACCTGGCACCCCTGCCAGTACCTTGCATGGCTGCAGAAGTTCACATCGGCTCAAATTTGGCGCAAACGGCCTTTATAAGGAAGCCCTGCCCTACTCTCAGGTGCTGGTTGATCTCTGGCTCCCTAGTACCTTCGTTCCCTTGCTATCCTGATTTGTGATTTCCTGTTAACGACTCGGCTTGCTCCTGGACCTGTCTGCTCTGTTTAACCCTGACCTGACCCCAGCTTGTCTACGGATCTTCTCTCCTGCTCTCTGTGTATGACCTCAGCTATCTCTCTTCACTACGCTGCTCCGATCTCCCCTGGCACCCGACCTTGGCTCTAACTGGTTATCCTGAGATTCTCTATTCTCTCGAAGACCGGCATACCTCGCACAGCTGCCCCTGCCTGCAGACCCCATCCCGCGCATCAGCCGTGCTCCTGGGTGGACCACCAAACAAGCACTCCCACAGGAAACTGTTCCACTTTGGGCCTGACCCCAGCTTGTCTACGGATCTTCTCTCCTGCTCTCTGTGTATGACCTCGGCTGTCCCTCTTCACTACGTCTGCTCCGATCTCCACCTGGCACCCACCTTGGCTCTAACTGGTTATCCTGTGATCCTTTGTTCTCTGGAAGACCCGCATACCACGCACAGCGCATGCAGACCCCATCTCAGCGCATCAGCCATGCTCCTGGGTGGACCACCAAACAAGCACTCCCAGCTAGGCAACCTGTGCAACTCTGGGCCTGACTCCTGCTGTTCCACCTTCAGGGGAGTCTGGAACTTAGCCGCAATGGAAGCCCTCTCTCCACTGGCTTCTGTCACCAGGTAGTGATACAGTCTTGTGTGAACAGACCTTCACATTCATACACTGCTGCAATCCATTTTTTATCACACGTTACACAATGCATGATTGGTGCTGACATTCATTTTGAAAGGCACTCCAATCTGCCTTACAAATACCACAATGCTCAGATGAGAACCAATAAAGCACAGCATGGTGCTGCACTGCACTGAAAAAAAGACTCCTGTCCAAGTCTGCATGCATTGTGCTGTGTTGGCTGCTTGTACAAAATGATTGGGATGCCTTAATGCACATTGACATGTAAAATAATGCATGTTAAGGCCATGACAGTAATGAACGTGGTGAAGGTGAATGGCACCCTAAGGCTCATTATAACCTCATGTGTGCAGGGACATGTGCTGTGATAAAATGTCATCTACTATATCCTGCCTTTGGGGTGAATGGACTGACAAACACAACATGCCGCAAAACACGTCAATGCACAGTCATAACACAATTTTACAAATAAAAAGAACATAATGAACGATAACGTGATGATATTAATGGTTTGGGGAATTCAACAATTAACATATGAATGGTTAATAAAGTCAATGGTGGTCAGTGGTGAATGCCCCTACATGTTGGTGGTCAGTGCCTTGTAAAATATTGTAGATAGGAGCCCCCCATAACATTGGTGGTTAGTAATCAGTGTCCCCATTTGTTGGTGGTGAAACAATCTTTCTGAGGGTAGGTGGCCTAGGTGCCTGGGACAAGCGATGCCTATGCTGGGAACATCTAGTCATATGAACAAAAATGAGAGTCATGACTCCAGGTGGATCAATGCTTGTCTGTCATACCAGCTCCTCACTGTGAGGTCCACAACAAAGCAAAGACAGATAATGCAAACATTGGCCTTAGATTCATGAAACTCTCCATTGACATTTAGTTGGTTACATGCAGAAGTCATGAACCTCTAGGTCTTGAAAGAATCTTAGAATTTTTATTCAACAATTTCCAGCTTGTGCTGTTATTTCCTTTTGTTATGTTTTATCTCAGAGCTTTCTAAAAAAATGGTGAGATTCCCAACACTAGTGAGCCAAGGTGGAGGAGGGGAGCCCATAGTCTATGTCAGATTTTGGCCTAACTGAAAAAGAAATAATCATGGGGTCCTGGGGAGACATGTGGGAGGTATTGGAATCCAAGACCTGAGTGTGTTTAATGGTGAAAATTCTGAATTGTGGAACCACAATATTCATTGATCTTTGCAATGTTCCTCATCATAAATAAAATCCACTCTTTATTTGATATAAATGCTAAAAGCAATGGTTATTACCAGCATAACATTTGTAGTTAATAGTCAGAACCCCCATTTGTTGGTGGCCAGAGAACTTCACAGGTCCTACGTTGCTGTCTGCTTCATCTCTGCTGAGCATTGTCACAGCAGAACTATGTAGGCACTATTGGGCTGGAAACTCTTCATGAACTTCTGGTAAATGTCCGAGTCCCTCTAACAGAGTGCAATAATCTTTCCAAGGTCTTCATAGACCACCAGCCCCTCTTTGCAACATCTACTACAGAACAAAGAAAGCAAATGGCACAAATGAGCATTACATTCATGAAACTCTCTATTGACATTCAGCCAGTTACATCCAGAAAGAATAAAAGTCTTTGTGAAATCTTGAGAGTTCTATTTATGTCAGTAAATGCTGGTTTGTGCCATTATTTACCCTTCTTATGTTGTATCCTGGAGCTTCTTCTAAATAAAGGTTTGATCCCCACACTGCTAAACCAAAGTGGAGGAGGGGAGCCCACGGTACAAGATGGATTTTGGCCTAACTGAAAAGGAATTGGTTATGGGGTCCTTTGGAGACATGTGGGAAGTGTTGGTGAGATCTTAGAATCCAAGACCTGGGTGTGTTTAGTGGTGAAAATGTTGTAGAACCCCAATATTCATTGATTTGTGAGATGTTCCTCCTCATAAATAAATTCCTCTGTAATGTGGAGTAAATGACGTCTTGTGATCCATGGACTAATTATAGATTTCTACACTCAGCGAGAGTCTTGATAAGTGACGTTCTCCTGTAACACCTGTTTCTTCATACCTTTTCTTCCGGCCCACGTTGGTGGAATATCAGGGTTTGCTAAAGGTTTCCTGATAAGGAGGCCTAAAATTGTCCTAATAACAAGCCTGGAGCTCTCCCCTGATTGGCTGACTGAGTGTATATAAACTGAACAGACCTTACCATCGTCCTCTTAACCAACAACAGCAGAAAATGGCAGCACTGTGGGTCCTGTCCTGCCTGGTCCTCCTCAGTGGAGCCTATGGTGAGTACACACACATGCTTGTAGAACATTGTAATATATATATATATATGTATATATATATATTTTTTTTTTTTTTTTTTTTTTTTTACACATACATATAAAATATTCTAGACACAAGCATTCAAAGATTGTATAATGTAGTACTTAGATTTGATTATATGATCTACTTAGATCTGATAATATGGAAGACTTTTGCCAATCTCCATCTTATTGATCACTCCGCTGAACCTTTCTAAATGAATAAATTCAGCTTCTAGAAGTAACTTCCCATCCACTATGGATAAGACGATGAGGCCAGCAAGATACTGAACAATATATGGCTGGGAAAGCCTGGCTCTGATTATTTTATTACTTTTTAATAGGAAAAAATGAAAATCCGCCTTATTACTGATCATATGTAGACAAAGTGAAAAGACAATAAAACAAGAGACTTAATGACCAAACAGACGTTGTGTTGTATCATATTATAGTGTGTAACAATGTATTACTGGAGGTTATGATAAGAACGTGTTGTTCTCAGGTTGCGGTGTTCCCGCCATCAGTCCTCTTATCTCCGGCTACGCCAGGGTTGTGAACGGTGAAAACGCTGTCTCTGGTTCTTGGCCATGGCAGGTGTCTCTTCAGGTACGATCATTTCTTTATCTTGTGTCTAAATTATAACATTTCTGGGTTTAATGTCATTTCTAGGGATCTTCCACATCAGAATGCCACCTATTGTGTGGAAACACATACCCCATCCCCCAGATCTAGGACTTTCTAGGGACACAATTTAGAATTTCATTGACTGAATGTATTACTTGTCAATTCTAAATTTAAAGAATGTAACACAGCCCTCTTAGAAAAGTAAAGTGGGGGGGAGGCAGAGGTAGGTGACAACCCTCCTCAAAAAGCAAAGGAAGGAGGGGAAGGTGATAAGATGCCTCCCAGCAAACAATTTAAAGGAGCAAAAGATGGCACATAGAAGGGCACAGCAGCTGATCAGCAGGCGATCAGAAAAGGTAGATGCCAGCCATACATTAGAGGGGGAGGGTATGCAGTGAGGCTTCCCCCTTCTATCCCAAAGGGCAGAACCTCTCTAAAATGGACCTAAAATGTTCCAAAAAAAAGAAAAGTCTACAGTCTTGCTGGCATGTAAAAATAATAGCAATAGGAGGGCAATGACCGTATGACTCTTCTTCTACAGAACAGCACTGGATTCCACTACTGTGGCGGCTCCCTCATCAACAGTCTCTGGGTTGTCACTGCTGCCCACTGCACAGTCAGGTGAGTCTATTATTCATACAAAGTATTGCATGCTTCATTAGGAACAAAGTCAGTGTTCCCTGCAATGCTTCTGGTTTTGGGAATCTGTCCATCCAGAGCCTCTGGTTTATAGACCGGATACATCCTAAATATAGAGCCATTTATCCAACTGTCCATCCAGAGCCTCTGGTTTATAGACCGGATACATCCTAAATATAGAACCATTTATCCAACTGTCCATCCAGAGCCTCTGGTTTATAGACCGGATACATCCTAAATATAGAGCCATTTATCCAACTGTACATCCAGAGCCTCTGGTTTATAGACCGGATACATCCTAAATATAGAACCATTTATCCAACTGTACATCCAGAGCCTCTGGTTTATAGACCGGATACATCCTAAATATAGAACCATTTATCCAACTGTCCATCCAGAGCCTCTGGTTTATAGACCGGATACATCCTAAATATAGAACCATTTATCCAACTGTACATCCAGAGCCTCTGGTTTATAGACCGGATACATCCTAAATATAGAGCCATTTATCCAACTGTACACCCAGAGCCTCTGGTTTATAGACCGGATACATCCTAAATATAGAACCATTTATCCAACTGTACACCCAGAGCCTCTGGTTTATAGACCGGATACATCCTAAATATAGAACCATTTATCCAACTGTCCATCCAGAGCCTCTGGTTTATAGACCGGATACATCCTAAATATAGACCATTTATCCAACTGTCCATCCAGAGCCTCTGGTTTATAGACCGGATACATCCTAAATATAGAACCATTTATCCAACTGTACACCCAGAGCCTCTGGTTTATAGACCGGATACATCCTAAATATAGAACCATTTATCCAACTGTACACCCAGAGCCTCTGGTTTATAGACCGGATACATTTCCTAAATATAGAGCCATTTATAGAGCCATTTATCCAACTGTACACCCAGAGCCTCTGGTTTATAGACCGGATACATCCTAAATATATAGAACCATTTATCCAACTGTACATCCAGAGCCTCTGGTTTATAGACCGGATACATCCTAAATATAGAACCATTTATCCAACTGTACACCCAGAGCCTCTGGTTTATAGACGGATATCCTAAATATAGAGCCATTTATCCAACTGTACACCCAGAGCCTCTGGTTTATAGACCGGATACATCCTAAATATAGAGCCATTTATCCAACTGTACACCCAGAGCCTCTGGTTTATAGACCGGATACATCCTAAATATAGAACCATTTATCCAACTGTCCACCCAGAGCCTCTGGTTTATAGACCGGATACATCCTAAATATAGAGCCATTTATCCAACTGTCCACCCAGAGCCTCTGGTTTATAGACCGGATACATCCTAAATATAGAACCATTTATCCAACTGTACACCCAGAGCCTCTGGTTTATAGACCCGGATACATCCTAAATATAGAACCATTTATCCAACTGTACACCCAGAGCCTCTGGTTTATAGACTGGATGCAATATAGAGACAACTATCCAATTTACTTACTATTAGCTCTATAACAAGATGTAGAAGGTCGGGGCTGTAGAAAGTAGAGGGATGTAGACAGTATGGGTAGCATACTCTTGGACCCTGCACTAAATTACTGTGATGAAGTGTCCTTTCCCTGCCAGACATGTACAATGTTCCCCATGTATAGAAAGAATAAAGTTGAGTGTGAAAACCATAATCACGACAACACCAAACTATTTACCAATGAGTTCCCATGTTTCTCTTCCATCCAGATCTTCCCACCGTGTGGTCCTGGGTGAACACGACCTTTTCTCCAATGATGAGCCCATCCAGGTCAAGTCCATCGGCAGAGTAAGCTCTTATTACTGAAGGAAAACTCTCATTTTTTAGGAGTTTTAGACATGAGAACGTGATCAGCGTCATCATTGTATCTTCTAAGCGTTCTTCCTATGTAGAGATTGTAGTGATATATGTATGGGTGGGCAGATTTATTTCTTATATTTAAAGGCTGAGCTTCCTGCATGGTCATGGTACACAGATTGGGACTTGTAATATCCACAGACATGGGATGGAGTTCAACAGATCCTTCAAGACATGTTTTCCTCTAGTCGTTCAAGTCATAGTCGTTCATGTCTAGGTTTTTTGATGTTTTATTCTTGTGTGTATTCCCACTGTGGAGATTTCCCTTTTCTTCTTGTCTTGGGGACACCTTCTCACATATGAGGGATTTTTTTTATACTACCATTTTTAGGGAAAATATTACATAAATAAAAGAGCTAATTTATTCAAAAAGACCTGAATATGGATAATAGAATATTTGCATGTAGTGTAATTCCCTGGAGGAATCATCTAGGCACAAGGTGTGCGCTATCAGACTAAAAGTGGACTTATAAATGAGAGTTTGTTTGATTTTGAGTCCCGAAGCAAGAAAGCCATTAAAGTTGACCTCCAGCCTTCTCTTCAGTCTTTACTTTAGGCGTTTGAATTGCGGGTGATGTGTGTCGCCCCAAAGGTAGCAGATCATAGTACAAACTGAGATGCTTCAGAGGGATATTTATTACAAGTTCAGGAGTAGATTCTGATTCATTGAAATCTATAAAAACATTAATCCTTAACATCACTTTTTTCAGTTCTTCAGTCACCCCCAGTACAACACCCAGACCGACGTCAATGACATCGCCCTGATCAAGCTTTCCAGTCCCGCCACCCTCAATGACCGCGTGTCCGCCGTGTGTCTTGCTGCTTCCTCTGATGTCTTCAGTGGAGGAGAAAGATGTGTCACCTCCGGATGGGGATACACCAATGCTGCCAGTAAGGGGATTAGATGTTCTTCAAAACTACAAAGTATTGCCTGAATAACCCTTGGGCATACAAATGTGGTCTTCTACAGAGGGCTGTACATAGAGATGTCTAGAGCTTACATACATTTGTAGCTGTCTATCTTATGTTAATCCATCCTCTTCCTTTCTCTCTCAGCACTAGCTAAGCCAGCTAAACTCCAGCAGGTGGCTCTTCCTCTTCTGACCAACCCTGAGTGCCAGAGATATTGGGGAACCAAAATCAAGGACACCATGATCTGCGCTGGTGCCTCCGGTGCCTCCTCTTGCATGGTATGATGATCTACAGATTCTATTGAGGAGTAATAGCTTTTTTTACCCAACATTTTCAACAAACCAATAGCTTATGGATCCAAACTCTAAGTTGGGTCACTTTAGATGAGGCTGAACAGTCTATGAAGCCTAACATTTATCCGCAGAGTAATATATACATACTGTATATTGTTGTTGAAATCAACTGGTGATGTCTCTTTTAGACCTCTTAATTGTTCATGTATGTGTTTCATGCTTTGTCCCGAGGTCAGGTTTTCCCATCGATGTTTTAATGTCAAAGAATATAAAAGATGGCACAGGGCTTAGCCTTGTGGCCTTAAAGAGTTGTCACAGGAACATATGTCCCTATTGAATGTCCCATCTCTTCTTGTTCTGGTGACAACTCGAAAATATTGGATTTCTCATCAATTTCTGTTTCAGGGACAAACAGAGAGAGTGAATCTCTTCAATGGGTACAAAGACAGCAATACAAACGTGACAAAGGGTCTAACCTTTCCACACTCCATGCAAAAACTAAAAAACTGACTTTACATTCCCTTTACACCCATCAGACCCAATATAATACTGAACACCAGTGATGGCTTCTCTTAAAAATGTATGTTAACCTCAAAAGAACATTTTTAGCACTACAATGCAATCTAAATACTGGTCCCATTTATATATACGGGATCGAGTCCACACTCAGTAGATGATGTTGTTTCATGACTCCATAGTTCTGTAAGAAATGCAGGCCAGTGATGTCACACATCCATTCATCACAATGAGAACTCTTCTACAATTTCTGTTTTTGCTTCTTTTCAGGGTGACTCTGGTGGCCCCCTTGTGTGCCAGAGGAACGGAGCCTGGACCCTGGCCGGTGTTGTGTCTTGGGGCCGCTCTACCTGTTCTCCATATTTTCCCGGAGTCTACGCCCGCGTCACCTCCCTCAGATCCTGGGTGGACCAGACTGTTGCCGCCAACTAAATACCATCCGATGTCTTTCTGGTACTCAATAAAGTAACTTTTATATTAATACATGGATGTGGATTTTATTAAGGTTCATAAATTCACAAAATACACAAGAAAACATATTAAACAAAATATATGAATGAGATGTTTAAAAGTCTTCAAGTCTTTCCATTTTTTAAGATGGTGACTGTTTGTGAGTCTCCCCTCCTGTTCAATTCACAGCTTATCTCTTCCCCACTTCCACATTTTACTTTTTCACCCCCATCTACAGCTCACCCCAATCCACGGTTCCCACCTCTGCCCCATCTTGCTCCTCCCAGGACCTCCCTCCCCTTACAGCTCTCTGACCTCTGCATAAATCCCCATCCATAGCTCCCAATTTGCAAAACTGCCCCCTGCCCTCCACAGCTCTCACATCTGTACAACCCCCCCTCTTCCTCACAGCTCCCACTTTGCACAGTATGTCCCCTGCCCACCACAGCTCTCACATCTGTACAACCCCCCCCCCCTTCCTCAGCTCCCAGCTTTGCACTTTGCCCACCACAGCTCTCACATCTGTACAACCCCCCCCCCTTCCACAGCTCTTTGCACATGCCCCCTGTACACAGCTCTCACATCTGTACCCCCCCCCTTCCTCCTCCAAGCTCCCACTTTGCACAACCTGCCCCCTGCCCTCCACAGCTCTCATCTATGAACACCCCCCCTCCTTCCTCCAGGCTCCCACTTTGCACAGCCTGCCCCCTGCCCTCCACAGCTCTCACATCTGCACCCCCCCCCCCTTCCTCACAGCTCCCACTTTGCACAACCTGCCCCCTGCCCTCCACAGCTCTCACATCTGCACCCCCCCCCCTTCCTCACAGCTCCCACTTTGCACAACCTGCCCCCTGCCCTCCACAGCTCTCACATCTGCACCCCCCCCCCCCCTTCCTCACAGCTCCCACTTTGCACAACCTGCCCCCTGCCCTCCACAGCTCTCACATCTGCACAACCCCCCCCCCCCTTTCCTCACTGCTCCCACTTTGCCCAGTCTGCCCCCTGCCCTCCACAGCTCTCACATCTACACAAGTTCCCCAACCTGGCCAGCTCCACCTATCAGAAGTGTAGCACAGAGCTGAGGAGGAGTTTCAGAACTCTTCCCTCGGCTCTGTACCATATCTCTACCAGGTTCAGGTGGCAGGGCAGGACAGAAGCCACCTCCTCAATCACCACATCATACATGCTGGGGACCTGTCCTGGGGGTCCAGTTCTAGCACACATGAGCCAGTAGAAGGAGTGATCAGTGCAGAAATCTTCCTCTACTGCCTTCTGTGTTAGTGACAAGGTGGAGGGGACAGAGCTGCCGGAGGTGGCTGAATGGAGTTCCACCACATTTGTTGCTGAAGGAAAGCTCTGCTCAGCATCATATCTATCCAGCGGGTTCTTTTCCCTAACCTGCAACTAAGGTGAAGAGCAGAATCCCCAATTATTATTCTTCCAAATTAAGATGGCCACCTCAACTCTTACAGGAATTCAGCCTCAACCCGATGTCCTCATCCAAGAGAGGACTAATAGAGTCTGTAAGAGGGAAAGCGGCCAGAGGAGTATGTGCACCTACCTACGTGTGTAGGAGAGGAGTGTGGGGGGGATTATGGGGGATGTATGTGTAGGAGAGGAGCATGGAGAGAGGATTATGGTAGGAAATGTATGTGTGTAGGAGAGGAGGAGGGGAGGGGATTATGTGTAGGGAATGTATGTGTAGAAGAGAGGAGTGTGGAGGTGATTATGGGGGATGTATGTGTAGGGAGGAGTGTGGAGGGGATTATGGGGATGTATGTGTAGGAGAGGAGTGTGGAGGGGATTATGGGGATGTATGTGTAGGAGAGGAGTGTGGAGGGGATTATGGGGATGTATGTGTAGGAGAGGTGTGGAGGGGATTATGGGGAGTATGTGTGGAGGGGATTATGGGGGATGTATGTGTAGGAGAGGAGTGTGGAGGGGATTATGGGGATGTATGTGTAGGAGAGGAGTGTGGAGGGGATTATGGGGGATGTATGTGTAGGAGAGGAGTGTGGAGGGTATTATGGGGATGTATGTGTAGGATAGGAGTGTGGAGGGTACTATGGGGATATATGTGTAGGATAGGAGTGTGGAGGGTATTATGGGGAAGTATGTGTAGGAGAGGAGTTGTGGAGGGGATTATGCAGGAAGCATGTGTAGGAGAGGAGTGTTGAGGATATCTTGTGGGAAATATGTGTAGGAGAAGACAGTAGAGGGTATTACGGAGATTTTTATGTAGAAGATGAGTATGGAGGGTATTATGGGGGAAGTATGTGTTTAAGAGAATTATGGAAGGTATTATGGGGGACGTATGAATAGGAGAGGAGTGTGAAGGTTATTATTATACAGAATTTATATGGCGCCAACAGTTTGCGCAGCACTTTAAAATATAAAGGGAGACAGTAAAATTACAATACAGTTCAACACAGAAGGAAAAGGAGGGTCATGCTCATGGAGCTTAAAGGGAGTGGGAGTTTGTACAAAAGGTAATAGCTGCAGGAGACGATCTGATGGAAGTGACTCAAGGACAGTTTTTAGGTGAAGATAGGGCAGGCTTCCCTAAATAAATGAGCTTTCAAGGATTACCTAAAGATGGACAGGGTAGAAGCTGACCAGACGTACCGGGGTAGGGAGTTCCAGAGGATGGGAGAGGTTCTTGAAAAGTGCTGGAGGCAAGCATGGGAGAAGGTAATAAGGAAGCTAAAGAGCAGCATGTCTTGGGAGGAGTAGAGCAGACGCTTTGGGCAATATCTGCAAATGGTGTTGGTGATGTAGCTGGGGGCAGTGTTGTTGGTGGCTTTATACTTTATACTGTATATTGTGGTTAGTATTTTGAATTGTATGGACTAGTGGAAGCCAGTGAAAGGATTGGCAGAGAGAGGCAGTAGTCACAGGTCAGTTAATAAGGTGTATAAGTCTTGTAGCAGCATTCATAATAGACTGAAGGGGAATTAACTGACCTGGGCTGCCTGACTACGCCTGACGCTACCCAGACTATCCACCCTGCACGGATCCAGTCGCTACTGTCCAAACCTGCCAGCCCCTTCACATCAGGCTTTCCCCCGGTACATACCCTCGGCGGACCCCTCTACCACAGTTGGGTGCACTCAGGGGCAGCGACCTGGTCTCAGTCCTGCGCCAAGTCCATCCCCACCATCAGGGGCTCTGGTGAAAAGGCAGACTGGGGCTTAGACTCGGCACCCTGGGGAATCCTGTTCTGTGGGTCACTAGAGATCCCGCCGGGCGGTGCCTGACGGTACCTTATGGCCTGCCTGACCATTCCACCTCTCCAACCCTGACTACACCTGTGTTCCTGAAGCCTGCTACTTCCCTGTGTCAGTCCACACATTTCTGGTCACACCCGGATCCCTGACAAGGGTGGTTTCAGTGGAATGTTGTGAGTGGAAGCCTGGCGGTAGCGGATCAAGAAGATTGTTATCAGTGAGGCAGCAACTCATATGGTTGTGGGAAAGGTGTTCAAGAAGCTTGGAGGCAAACAGGAGCAGAGAGATGGGCCTTAATTTATAGAACACAGGTGAGGTCCAGAGACTTTTTTTTAAGTATGGGGGTAACCAGTGCATGTTTTAGCAGGGAGGGAAAGGTGTTTAGATGGAGACAGAAATGTGAGGGGACAGGATCCAGGGCACAGGTGGTGAGGTGGGCCCTAGAAAGCAGTTTGGTAACCTCCTCAGTGGTAACAGGGCCAAAGGAGGAGAGTATTGAGGGTGGCAATGGACCTGGTATGTTGGTAGAGGAGAAAGATGGACAATGGAGATCTCATCTTGAATTGTTTCGATCTTGTTTTAGAAACAACTGGCAATCTCCTGGGCAGTAAGTAAATTGGTGGGTGGAGGCAGTGGGGGATGGAGTGAGGAAAGCAGGGTAGAAATTGGTAGATTATTGGATGAGAGGATTTTGATGAGAGTGTTGTAGTAGGTTTGATTAGCAGCTTGGAGGCCAAAGTTGTATTTTAGAAGGGAAGATTTGTAGAAGGTGAAGTGTTGCAGAGATGGCTGCGTTTCTTCTGGTGTCATCTGTTTGCCAGGGTTGTAGCAGGTGAGGCCTGGTTCTGAATGCGGAGAGAGGAGCAAATGTGTTCAGGGAGGATGACAGTATGTTGTAGACAGAAGTGGTCAGGTCTAGGCAGGACAGGGGTGCGATTTGGTCATAAAGACAGTCAGTAGCAGAATGAAGAATGGGAAGGGTTGAGGTGGTGAAGGGTTTGCATGGGTAACTGCTGGTTGAAGACAAAGAGAGTGTGAAATTGGTAAGGTTGTGATTGGAGAGAGAAAAAGTGCTGTTAGAGAGGTTGCTGAGAGTGCAGTGGTGGGAGAATGCAAAGTCAAGGGTGTTGCCATTGGAGTGAGTGGTGGTTTGTGTCCATTGTGTTAAGTTACAAGAGGAAGTTAGGTTGAGTAGGTGAGCAGTGGCTGAGTTGTTAACATTAAAATGTTAAAGTCACTGAGGATGATGGTGGGTACTTCAGAGGAGAGAAAGTAGGGTAGCCATTCAGAGAAGTCATCAAGAAAGCGAAACACTGGGCCAGAAGGCCTGTAGATGACTGCAATGCTCAGACAAACTAGAGAAAAACTTCAAAAGAGCAGAGGGACAGAGAGGGGGGTGTAGGGGGAACCTGAATCGTGCTTTGTGGGGAAAGGAGAAGTCCAACTCTGCCTCTTTTTCATCCACTGGGTCTGGGTGAATCCAGAGGAGGCCAACATGGGAGAGGAAAAGCTGTAGAGGCAGATCCAGATCTAGAGACTGAGCATGCATTCCAGAGGGCACTTATGAGGAAGGGGCATGCTCAAGAAGAAGGGGAATTCAAATAAGAGAGTGAGGGTTGCGGCTGCTGCCAGAGAAGCAGACCAGTTCTGCGGGTGAGAGTTTGATGGTGGAGGGTCAGGGTTTGGGTCAATATCCCTGGAAGTTAGGAGTAGTAGGAGTCCTAGATTGTAAGCTCCAAGGAGCAGGACCCTCGA